AGGTACCCGTTGGCAGCTAAACCACAATTAGTACACACCTCATCTAATGATCTTGAAGTGACCTACAGTGAATTTCAACACCATCAAATCCGGCCTGTTCCACAGCCCTCTTTGAGGCGGCAGCCCATTCAGCAGTCATATCGTGAATCTCATCGATAGTCATGGCGCGTGGCGGACCGTCCTTGGTCTCCATGCCATCCATATAACTTCCGCTCATCGGGGTGGTTCCCGAGGAAAGGGGAGCTTGTCCACCAAGCATCCCCGGTGAAGATGCCCGGCCAGTATGCCATAGCTGGACGAAGATGAAGCCTCCCTTAGCATGAACAGCGTCTGTGACCTTTTTCCAGCCCTGCAGCTGAGAGTCGGTAAAGACTCCGGGAACACCAGGGTAACCACTGGCATTGAGACAGATGTCCGTGGCCTCTGTGATCTGAAGGCCACCGGCGCTTGCCCGATCACTGTAATACTTGACAACACGGGGACCGGGGACATGAACACCCCTGCTCTCGCGATCACATCGCATACGGGTGTTGGGAGCCTACATCGCTTGTTGTTAGCCGGTTGCCAAGGCGCTGAATATTTTTCAAATAAAACAATTCAATAAAAGAATAATGTACCTGAACAACACGGTGCTTCAGCGCAAGTTTACCAAGTTTAAGAGGCGAAAACAAGGCTGTGCCCTCAAGGGCAGCCAGAACTGGAGGGGGCGTGATGGCGACGGGCATGGTGCACAGCTTCTCGGTCGTTTAGGATGGATATGATGAAATGCCGGCGATAAACTTGGATTCTAGAACATCTCTTATTGAGATGCAAGCGCCCTTTCAATAAAGGAAGATGGTCTGATCGGCAGTACCTCTGACCCTGGATCGTTAGCCCAGGTTTCAAGCCTGGGGAATCCCACTGTTGTCTTCACCCCATCCTTATTCTGTCGTTTGGCCACAGGCTGTGTGTGGTATCATACAACCTCGAGATTCCAAGAGTGGCAGTCTGATTCCGAGCTGATGCCGCTCCCCGCTCGCTTGCGCGAACCCGAGACTGGATCGTCCCCCATTCCTGACCTCTTACCCACATGTAACCTCCTCAATCCCCCACTCTCGATAGTTGTACCTCGCTTACGAGCTCAGTATACGTGATTGGAGAAAGGGAAACCCCACCTTAGATAGTGCAAACTGAACTCGAACCGATGTAATGCGGACGTAGATCGGAATCTAGATCGCAGCTAACCGGATGACTTCTCCGCATTAGTGGGTGATAAGAGGGAGCAGATGATAAGATAAATGTGTCCATGAATCAACAGGTGCCGCTAGACGGTTCATGACTCGTAACTTCACAGTTCAAAAGAGCATTGACGATTATCCTGTCAATCAAGCCGACTTCTACGCAGACTGCCAGTGTATTACCATCCGTTGTTCTCTTCTCCTGTCATCAATATGTTCCGCTTCTTCGGACTTAGTTCATCTGACGCCTCGGGTTCAAAGCCGGCACCGGACCGAGGGCTGCCAGCTTCATGGTATCGCTCCAAGGAGCTCTATGAGCTTGAGCGCCGCGCCATATTCTCCAGAAAGTGGATTCTCCTCACGCATGTGCTGCGCTTCAATGAATCCGGAGACTATGTTTCATTCACATATGCAGACTTCAACTTCTTCTTGGTCCGTGACCGAGACGGGAACATCAACGCCTTCCACAATGTCTGCCGCCATCGGGCATACCCGATCGTGCAGAAAGACTCGGGCAAGGCAAGCATTTTGAGCTGCAAATACCATGGCTGGTCCTATGGGTTCAAGGGGGGCTTGGCAAAGGCTCCCAGATTCGACACAGTACCGGGATTTGACAAATCCCAGCATGGCCTGCTCCCTATCCGAGTACACGTTGATAAAGTAGGCTTCGTTTGGGTTAATCTCCAGGCGGGAGATGGAGATCCAGATGTGAAGTGGGCGGACGATTTTGTGGGCGTCGACGAACAGCCCAGAATGACCCAGTTCAATTTCTCAGAGGGCTATGCCTACGATCACACCTGGGAGATGGATCTTGATGCGAACTGGAAGGTGAGTGCCAGGATTTTACCCTTTTCTATCCTGTCTTCTAGCCACATAACTGACATATCGCCTGCAGAACGTAGTTGAGAACTACAACGAGGTATATTCATCCGCGCCTTGGCTTAGCTATGTTGAAAACACAGGCTAATTTCTTTCAGTGCTATCACTGTCCCACCAGCCATCCATTGATTGCCGGAGTCTCAGACTTGTCAAAATACACAGTCAAGCCAAATAAGGGTTGTTTAGAGCATACAATAATCAACAAGAGCGCGGCAGAGGACGAGGATGAGTTCCGCCGGTCAATCACCTTTTTCTTTCCGTCCACATCAGTCACTGTCACGTATGTACATGAAGATCCCGTTTCTATGGCAAGATCACATCTCCAAGTTTAAGAAGCTAACCCTCCAAATCCCCGTATAGCCAGAACTTTTTCTACATTCAAAGAATGATATGTCATGGCCCTACCAAGACCAAGATTCAAAACGAAGTTTACCGCCACAATAGCGCGACCGATGAGCAGTTTGACGCTATTATGGCATTCTACAAACAGGTCTTAGACGAGGACAAGGACCTTTGCAATGGGTCACAGCGAAACCTTAACGCCGGAGTGTTTACAAATGGAGAGCTGCACCCAGACAAGGAAGGGGTAGGTGATCGAACACATTGCTTTACAGGCTTAATGCGGCCCTTGGATCCTTGAGTAGTAAAGAACTAACATATTTTAGGGACCTATTTATTTCCAAAACACTTGTAGAACTGAGGTCATGGCACATCGCGCGAAAGAGGTGGAACAGGGCGGAAAAGAAATTTGGCCGGCGACCCCTAAGATTAAGGGTACTATGGACACAGAAAAACTTTGTGAAGAGGAGCGTTTCTGCTCAGAACTAGAAGCAGCAGCCTGTAAAAGTAGAGAAGAGCTAGCATGGTGAGATGTGAAATGGGACTCAATTGGCTGAGACAAGTAGTGAATCTTTGATTATCATGATGGAGCAAGTGAAACCAAGGATGATGTGAAAATGGTGAAAATATGGCATGCCTTTAGTCAGGAAGGATCTTGAGCGAGATTGTTTCAAGGACCCAGCAACTCCTAAGGTCAAAGGGAATGAGGTCTCAAGGAGTAAGGATTCAATTTTTCAACATATTCAAAGAGTTCATGTTCTAGCGCATTTCTCCCACGACTACACTACCCGAAGTACATACAAACGTCAATTAAGTGAGCCTAAGACACAGGGGTTTTGGATTTACAATCATATTTGTGAGAGCTTCCCACAAACCAGGCTCAGCATCTCGCCTCATCTTACTCGGTTCCGACAAAACGGAAGCGAGTATCATGTCAGATATTGGTCAGATTGGTATAATACGAGTTGGTAGCAACCAAGGCCAGTTTCTTTTTATGAGCGGTGACAGACCCATCTTCACTCTACAATCGATGCTGTCACTGTTTGTTGCCAATATCAACCACCCTCTGACATCATTTGTATTATGAGAGACATTCTCCCGAGTTCCATTATTGGGGGGATATCCCCCTCCTTTGCTTATCGCATGCGCATTTTGGAAGAATGTATAATTTTTGGCCATATATCACTATATCATTACATCACTGCGCTGCTGACACTGAACATTCGCCGCTTAGCAGAGACTCTGGTCCACTGCCATAAAGAATTTCAGACTTGACTGATCAAAATAGCCAGCGACGAATGGAATCGACTTTCTCCGGTGACGGAGGGGGTTGATTGGGCCCGGGTGATTTCTGGGGAGTATTCTTACTCTTCATGAAACGACAACTATGCGTTGATTTCAGGTTTTTACGGCTTCAAGGCATCGTTGCGTATGCCGTATCACAGAATCCTTGTTTCCCCAGCGCGGGAACAACCGCAGTGCACAGCCGAATGTGAAGGACAGCTCGATGAAGGCGGTCCGCCTGCATGCCCAACTGCAGCGGGGAGGTCACAACCACGGATGCTGAGATGACGTGGACGAACATGATTCGCCCATAGAGCACCATCGACCCCCATAAGCATGTTTTCGGGTTGCAGTGCTTGAAATCGGGCCATCATCTCACCACGGTGGTGAGAAAGTGGCACATTCTCATCGAATCGAGTCAGTCCTCGTGAACGCTTCATCTGCGCCCAAAAGGTAGAGCCGCAACAGGTGCCCATTCTCTGGCCTGTGTCTCTCATGACTTTGCTGAAATTCCGGGCACAGCCGACGAGAAAAACCGAGCTAGAACAAATATTTAAACGATACTCATCAAAGCTGACGCAAGAAGAGGGGCTTGGTCAGAAGATCGATCTTGGTTACAGCCCCCAAAGCGGCACAGAATGACGAGCAAGCAACCGCCCTCGGGGCAAGGCCCGTTGTACGAGGAGGTCATGCGGCAGAAGTACAACGATCCAGCCAAGTTGAGGGATTTGCTTGACGAATTATATGGGAGAGGCAACTACTCGGTAAAAGTAATACCACCCACATACCACCCATCACGTATCCTGGTTTTTCTACTTTCTTATGACCTTTATTGGATGGGCAGCAGGAGAGGCTAACCCAATAGTAGACCAAGTCGAATCGCTGGATCTTACGTCTGCCTGCACCATTAAAAGAGGTATGTTCACATGCTGAGCGATCGCAAGTATTAAGACCTCAGCTGACACCGCACCGCCAAAGGGCCAGATGGAATGGATCGAGAACCAGGTGTGCTTTCATTATTGACGGAAATCCTACTTTGCTTCTCGAAATAATTGCTCTCATTAAATTGTTTCAAATCAAATAACTTTTAGCTGTTTCCTGCATCTGAATGAGATGGCTTGTTTCCTTTTGATGTCCAACCCCAGCTTCCCACGCATGAAAAACACCTCGCCTTAAAACGCCTCAGCTTAGCCATGAGTGACTTAGCACGCTGTGATATACTCCGCGCAACATCATTCAATACGTATGATGCAGCAATAAACACAGCCCATCCCATCACACTCAGCCACGATGTCCTCTCATCGACTGGTAGTAAGCTGTCAGACCACCAGGCTTCTCTTTATTGCGCGTATCGTTCCGGGTGGTGTTGGCGTGTGACGACTTACTAGAATTGGAATTTTTGGTATAGAAGCTCGGCACCCTCTGGCATGTAATTTTGATGGCCTGGAGCTCTCTCACTAATTGCATGGACCTCCATCTTGTCTTTGGGTTCGGGTCCAGCATATGCTCCTCAATAACGTCCAGCATTTGATTGATGTAGTCATTGCAGGAGCGATGCTTTTTCAGCTTCTGGATCCATTTCTTGACTGATGGCTTGAGTTCAGCATCCTGATCCCCATTGGGTTCTGTAGTGATGTTGAAGAAGATATCTACATCGAAACCGTAGATATCATGCGCCATCCTCGTGTCAGTAAAGTCTATCATTACAGCCTTGGTCCCCAGAATATACCAAGAGATATATTCAAGAAAGACACACCCAAGACTGAAAATGTCAGAGGCTGGCGATACCATGCCTTTGGGAGGAGGTAGATCGAACTCGGGAGAGCGATACGTTTCCGTTCTTGCCAGAGACTTTGGATCTTGTTTGGACCTTGAATACTTGGTCTGCAGTCTTCCAAGCCCAAAGTCTGCCAGTACCAGACTTTGCTTCGGGGCCTCCGACTTGCCTGTTTCGAAATACAGGATATTACCTGGCTTTATGTCGCCGTGTCTGCCATATAGGTTCGGGTCTGAAACATTTTGAGGCAGGAACTTCAAGTTCTCCTCTCGATCGTTGTGTAATATCTGCAGGCCCTCCGCGAGGCCGCAAAACTGGACCGACATCCAGACACAATGCTTTGGGTCGCCAACAAATCTCTCGTTCTCCTTCCAATACCTCGCCAAATCTCCTTCTGCCCAGTCGAAGAGCAAATAGTAAGTGGGACGGTCCTGCCCTTGTGCAGAATTGTGCTCTTCAAACGTGGCAAGGAGTTTAATCAAATGGTCCTTATTCCCTTTCTGATCGGCTGAATAGATCAGTGTCGAGAGTTCTAGGTTGAAACTTTCACGCTCAGTATAGCGCGGAGTGAGTTTCTTGAGAGCAAAGTAGCCCTTATGGTGTCGTCCCTACGGATGGGAGATGTCAGTTGAAAGTACGGTGAGTATACCTACTTCAAGATGAATGAAAAGCCCCATACCTTGGTGTCACTCCAATCATAGTGACATTTCGATATTTTCACCCGATATACCTCACTGAATCCTCCGTACCCTCCATTGTTTGTTGCTTCTAGGACTGCTTTTAGACCTTCATCGTGAGTATTTTTGTCGATCTTCTTGTGATCGTAGATGGGCAAACAGCTTCCGTCACGGATGACGTAGTGAAAGTGTTTATCATCCTTCCATTTTATGTATGGAGCCACAAAGGCACGAGCGACCTCGTTGAATCTTTTGCGGTTTCTGGCGCGCTTGTCGTTGAATCCTGCGTGTTCCTTGTTATGTCGATCGCAGCTTAATCGAAATCCCTTCTCACTAAATATCAATGGAAGACATTGATCGCACAGTCCGTCCTTCCTATGAACTTCAATATCCTGGATCTGATCGCTCATCAGCAACGCGCCGAAGACTTTTATACATGGCGGATTGGATTTGCTTCCAAAACAGATTTCTTCGGCTATTTTACGCTTTTCCTCACGTGTTTTCGATTTGTAGCATGGCAACTTGTTGACTACCTGGAGGACCTTTTCCGGTGTGAGAATCCGCTCGAAGTCACTTCTCTGGACGTAGTATCTGTTGCTATCCAGGAAATATTTCTTCATCGAATTATCAAGCTCTTCCTCTAGAGCCGATAAGAAGTCCTCGAGATCGGGAACATCTTCTAAAAACTTGATCTTGCGTGCCTTGGTGTTGTCGTGGTGACACAGCTTCTGTCCGTGGTCCAGGATTCTCTCCACCCGATCTGGATTGTCTAGCCCAAAAGCCCGTTTCCTCACATGGGGATCATTGGAAAAAGACCCATTCATAACGCTTGGCGCCATGATTCCGTGCGACTCCGGGAAGATACTACTTGGGTCTCGGAACCGGCAGACAGAAAAGGCCAGACCGCGTCTTCGCCCCCGAGCGGAGCTGTTGTGTTCGTACTATGTAAGCGTCGGGAAACGAATCCTAATTGGGAATCAAGTCGGTGTGTAGCAGAGAGTGGCGGTTTAAGAAGTGCAAATGGAAAAAGGGGGTTTGGATTGGGGCTTGTCGGGCCTGAAATTTCTCACAGGGGGCTGTTACATGAAATACTTCTCTCTCATTTTGAGCAGGCAGCGAGACGGCAGAACTACTTAAACTATGGGAGGCGCCTCATTTTCCCAAATGTACTCGGCCGGTTCGCCTGGATCAATGCACTTGGTGGCTGCCCGCACTTCACCTCAGCTCCCGCTACTCGTCAGATTACTACATCACATTGGGCTGCGACCGTCGGAGAGCTGCAAGGCGTCCATAATCCTTCCGGTCGCCTTACACAACAGCGTACATCGAGCCAACCAAGATGCTAGCTCCGGCTCCGTGGGGGTTCGGGTGAAGGTAGGGAAATTATGTCCAAGAATCGGTGTGTGTGGTAATGTTGGACGGCTGGGCACGCATCCAACATTTGAACGTGCTGATTCTGGAATCCCGACATTTCAATTTCTGCAGTCAGTTCCCTTGTCCTCTCATGGTTCGCACTACGATACTCAGAGACTTGCTCCAGGAAGGTCGGAATGGATTCGCAACGATCAAGAATTCCAGATGCGCGAGTCGTGGGCTATGATGATCTGAGCTGGTGTGTGTGTGGCCATTCTTCGAACCCCCTAAAATGGCGCAGTTGCATTCGAGAAACTTCGCCTCACACCCAACCACCCTCCAACAAATATGAGCTGAGGTGGTTGGCACAATGGTGGGTGGCTCAGCTGAATCAGGGGGGCACTGCATGCATGGGTTGTGCAGCTTCAACATCCAGCCGCATGACCAGACTATTTGATGGCTACTGCTGACATAGCCACAGGAATCTCATGTTGCGACATTTGAAAGAAATGGATTGGAGATAAGAGATGCTTCGTGGACTGATGCAAGTGGTAGTAAACATGGTAGGAAACGTGGTACGAATTACTCCATTATACGAAGCCGCCCTGCCTCCAAGTTATGCCCTGTCATGTCACAGAGGTGAGACAGGGCCTACCGTGTGGTAAACCCTAAATGAGGTCCAAACGCACAGCCATTTATCGTCTGCATACCATCCTACGTCGAAGGAGCAAAGACTGAGAGGTTGGGTTGATCGGCCTTTGCGTACCGAAACTCCCTGTACAGCTGGACATTGCGTATTACTATTACCTACCTCTCCTTTTTAAGATCTTTGGGTGGCCAAAAATCTAGTGGCAACTCTGGACCCTTCTTAAGAAGGGAATCGCCCACTTCATTTGCGACACAATTGTGTATCGCAATCTTCCGCCACCCGACAGTTCCCCTGACTTGAGAACACGCCGTTCACTCCATGTCTTCATCAAATTTCTCTCAGGGCTGGTCCGTCCCAGATTCCATTGTCGAATGGAAGAATGGTGACGACGGCAAGATGAACGCGTACGTGTCAGCGTCAAATGTCAGCTCGCGCCAATTGAAATCTTACCTAGATTCCAATTACCCGGGCCAGTACTCTGTTCAGGTAATGATCTGACTACCCAATCGGCTTCTGTCTGGGATTTATATTGACCCACGCATGTTTATAGCTGAAACGAGATCAGTTCAGAATTACTGTCCCTCGAAGCTAGCCTTTACCTATTGACTTAGGTGAAGAAGTGTAGAGCACGCGACCACTCGCCACCATCCGATTCCTTTTGATTATCAAGCATAATATCGTGGGAGATATATGGTAGACAATACCCAAGGGGATGCGGGGACAGGGAGTTGAAGCCTCAGGGACGGCTGGCTGATAATCATGTAAAAGATTCATGTTCACCTCAATCTCAAACAATGCCCCCCTAGATGGCCAAAACTATCGAACCTAGGCTTTTATATTAATATTTATTCAACACACCCCAGGCAGTCAATTGCTTCTTACGTCGTGGAGAACCTCTTTGGAACCATAATCCTGTGGCCCATTCGGCATTTTATTGTGAGGAAATCGGTCACCCCAGACTGTCATTTGCCCGAAATTTAATCCTACACGATTCTTCAATCACGTCATTGCTAACTAGAGAGAAGATTGCGATGGAAATGGAAAAGCGTGCGGTCCAATATTCATGATCTCCCGATAGGTGAATAGAGATTGCCCAACAAAAAAGCCTCGGGCTCTTTCAAGAACAGGCCGACTCAAATGAGGTAAAAGATATGTTCGTAACCATATAGAGCTACCAACTATTCTCTCACTTTGACAAAGGGCTTTGTAAATGGAGTTGATCATACACTGAATACTATGTAGATAGCTTTGCCATTTTGGTAAAGGATGAGTACCAAGATTCTACTCAAAGTGGGAAGGATGCCCTCTAAAATTCCATACAACTACTATCATTCCCTTTCTCGCAAAGCCTGAGGTTGACAAATTAGTTATGTCAATAACATATCGTCATGTAAACCTACTTGTGTCTACTGGAACCAAGCAAGGAGTTCGTTCAATGTTTTAAGTCAGAGATTGGGGATCATGGAAGCGAGTTCAAGTATAAAGTTAAAAACAACAATAGAAGATGCCAGACCCGACATCTCAACACAATGAATACCAGATTGGGGATCATATTAATAATGTTACAAAAAATAGAGAGTTGAGGTTAAGATAACAGTAGGCAACTATGAGTGCGGATATATTCAGCACTACATCCTACCTTACTTCACAAAGCCCTAAATTCGTCACAGGCATCAATGCAATACAATCCAGAAGCCTACGTTGTCCTTCCTTTAAAAGATGAGCCTACCCTTTTCAGGTCAATTGAAAGTCAGAATTTAACGGTATACAAGTTTATGCTTGATAAGTCGTAAGAATAGACAGGAAGGATTAAACTCGACTCTCCTCCACAAAGGAGATGTAGAAGGAAATGGCCAAGTTGGCGATGAAATTTGGTGAAGAATTCTGGCTTGATGAAAAAAAGAAAGACCTTCCGGTAGATTGGTTTCTAAGTAAACAGTAGTGCCAAACACAATTTGCCATGATCTGAAGAGCTCACAGGCCAGGTGATGGAATGAGTTGTTCTCTTTGACTAGGTTCCACCCTAGAAGTAATAGCCAACCCACCTATTCTACTCGGTTCTCACTTCTGTGATAGCTAATTCACCTCTAACGAGACAAATAATAGATTAGGCTCGGAGGTTCCGCGTGCAGACAGCTAGTCCATCCGTCTACCCAAGTTTTAGGTATTTGTTTTAACTTGCAAAGAGCGTAATCTTCTGTTCACTTCCCATTTTCAGCCATACCGACAAATATTTTGATTCTTTGATAACCAAGAGATCATTAAATTCGGCTTGGTGTGTTAATACGCAATATCTGCGCACGCCAAATGCCGGCTCGTTGGACTCCGCGGAGACTAGTTGGTAGAGATTAATAGTACTAGAAGAGGTAGGGTAATTCTTCCTATCAGAATTTTCAACAACATAGAATTCTCTCTCCTACGTATAGGTACTGAAGGATAAGCTTCGCAGCACTTGACAAAGATATAGCATTTTTATTTTTACTTTTAAGTAACGCAAGATATACTCTTAAGACATGTCTCGCTCTACTTGCTATTTTCAACTCCTTCAAAGAATGTTTTTCAGTGAATTTAAGACGGGATATCCCATAGAATTGTTTTGATTAGTGATTGTGAGGGATGCTAAAATTGTAGGACCCCAAAGTCTTGTTATATTTGAATTCTCAAGCGATTGGGACCTCAACCGGATGCAAGATGACTCGAAGATCTATGCGGAGCTCAATATACCAACCTAATCGCACTCTAAAACCTAAGGGAGAGGATGACATGTATCTTCATCGCCAGGAGCCGACTCCTTACACGTGAAAGCGAATTCATGTGCAAACTACCTATCCCGGAGCTGCCTATATGGACCGAGACGCCGATCATATTTACTCTGAACGAAGAATATCCATAAGATTTTCTGACTGAGTTTGCCTTGATATAATAATATATTACAAATAAAAAGCGGTGCTCGAATGCAGGAAAACCGGATTATAGTCAATCAAGCCTGTCGATGTTAAAGCAAGTGGTTAGCTGTACATTACGAGGGTTACAATAAACAGCAGGGGAGCCATCCTGACAGGCGCTACTGGTTTATTAGACCGAAACCTCCTTGACAGGCTTGCGACTGGTCCAAATATAGTTCGAATTCACCCTCTGTGTAGTTCCTTTATTTGATACAACACTTCAATTGTTGGGGACGGGGGTTGTACAGGGGTGACGGAATCACTTCCTGAATTGGGTTATGAAGACAAACCCCTCTTAGGTATCGCTGACGTGATGATTCATAAGGATTTTGGGACTCCTTGTTTTGGGATTCCCGGCATGCTCAAGTCTACCGGCAGACGCGCCAAGAGTGTGAGTCTGGGGTAAATCAATCTTCATGGACCATATTGGGATCCTTTCGGCGTAATGTACGATAGTAGAGCGATAGTAGTCTGTCTTTTAGAGTCATCATGCTCGAGTCTATTATGAGATGGCCTTTACTAAAATGATCTTCTTGTCACATCTGGGTAGAATTAAGCCGTGGAAGATGCCTTTCACATTAGCCACTTTCGCCAATCGGCATATCCTCACTTTCTGGCAAGAACACAAACCCCTAGCCTTTAGATGTTAGAAGTTGCCAGTATGCCTACTGAGTCATATTGCGCGCCATTCCTGTCGCGGCAGGAGATTTGTTTGTTGGGGCTCTTAATATACTCAGAGTATAGGGTATAGTGAAGGGTTGATTGAGTATTGGCGGAGACTCAAAGCTCAGGCGAATGTAGAAAAGCCGCTGTCAATTCCCAGCCTCAATTAGGATTTGGGAGCCTAGAAATGGACGCCATTCGTACTTGAGCCATTGAAGAGAGCTTGTGGGAAGGTCCCATCAAGCAGGAGGAGCCACTGTGCCAAGGATCTTAAGCCTGGGATGGGGCCTGGGTGTGGAAAGAAGACAACAAGACATGGATCCCTTGTTGGATTTGGCCGAACAGCACCTCGCCTTGTTCGCAAAGATCACGCCCTATGATCCAGGATCCCGGACTAATGAGTGTTAAAAGGAACAATAATCGTGTCAGTCGGGAAAAAAAATTACCCATGCTTCTCCAGCCAGTGGGTAGACTAGCCTCTCATAACCGCTTTTAAGCAATGGCCGAGTATCAATAAAAGCCTCTCATTTCAGGCAGGAGATGTGATATCCACGCTTGGGGGTCATGTAGTATCGAATTCCCTGATCTTGATTGAATCTATGAAATCGAGGCTAGACTCAAAAAATCGGACAGCAATCCAACAGCATAATCACCTGCCCAACCCGGTGAAAGCAGCGACAAATGATACTCTACCGCTATTGCGAGCACTTTGATACAGCATTGATACATAGATTTCAAAGGTGCAGCAATTGCTTGAAGACATTGAAAATAGTTCAATTGTGAGATTTGACGAATTGATTTAGCTCATGTCAACCGCCAGAGAAACCCTAAGCGGTAAGTTCTAAAGAGCGAGTTCCTACATCTCAGTTGAACCTCGCGTGTGTAAATACTTTGTGAGCAAATAAGAGTATTTCAGATTATCTGAGATATCTTTTCACGAATTGGCTCATTCGACGACCCGAGGTCAATGTTGTTTCAGATCAAGTTGGGGCAAAGAGATCAAAGGCGGTGGATACCGTTCTGAAGGACACGCCCGAAGTGGAAAAAATCAGCGAGCTGAGAGGCAAAACACAGGGGAAGCCTGTCACGATAAGATCTCTCCTCCTCTCTCTCTCCTGTGACGTCCCGGGATCGGCAGGAACCGCCAGCGACTAAAACGGCCTACAATGCCGAGCAAGGCGCCTCGCTGTGTTCCCCCCAGGCCCCCTATTAGTAGTAACTTACAAACAAACAGCATTCAATCTCACTTCGCATGATGTTGTTCAAGACTACGATTAATGGTAATTTGCTTCACATCTTGGAAGCTTCAGGGGCACCGTTCCTCCACGCATATGTTAGCAATGCAACCGTTGCTTTAAGAAGCGTAGCTGTGCTTTGATACATGAATCTATGGAGTCTATAAAGCAGAGTGGTGACGAATCGCCAGGGCATCTCAGTTTCTTTCTACATGTGGTAATTCGCCTACATCAATGCGCTGAAACGCTCCAGCCTACTCTATTCATCTATTTATGTATGGCGCGACGGAGAGGCAGCCTCACATTCAATAGCGTGACGTACCACTGGGGACCATGTCACAAAAGCAAACATGTTTAACAGGGTCCCTCCAATTGGATCGATTCAATTACGTGGATGATGGGGGTGATAGTCTAGGTGGTATAGGGAAAAACTGCCCTGTGAGGCCCAATGGAAAGGAAATTGTCAGTTACGCGCCAGCGGCACATCCTTGCTGATTCCTGAAGGAATGCAGCTCTGGCTATTCGGTAATGCGATGTTCCCTGTCCCACCGCTGACCTCAGCCCGCTCTTTTCTCACCGGGGCGCGCGCGAGCTGCGTGCCGGTTTGCACGCTTGGGGCTGCCAACTTAGTCAGTCATGCTGGAAAGGAAAGTCTCGGTGGTTGCTTACGGCAGGTGGTGTTAATTTGAGACAGAATGCAGCAAGCAAAAGGTACATATATCTGGCAGCAGCCAACCAAACAATCGTGGTATGTGCTTTCTGACAGGGTGGTGGGAAGGAATCGGATCCTACTATGCAACCCTGATTCCCCATCCTTCCACCGTGAGTGGAGATGTCTCCCGCAGGGCTCTGTCCTCTACTCTCGGCATTGGAGGTTTCAGGAATCCCTTGCGGTCGGATGACAGCTGAAGTGAACAAGGCACGGGGGTAGGGGCCCTGGGCTAGGAGAATTTCAGATGATTCAATAAGGTGAGGGAGATATGGGCCTACTTTGCCCGACTTGATGTTTCTCCATATTCAATTCATCAATTGGCGTTTTTGCTTTTCGTCGTGCTTGCCATTGGGGTCGCATTGGCGAAGCTGTCACCACGATATCGACGACATCTAGAAACCGCTGCCTGGGCACCAAACGAGCGCCCCTCGTTTGAACAGAAGCCATGAGGCCCGCGGCCATCATTGGGGTCGCTGCCAGTCTCTGTACGTACCGTCATCAACCATCAAATCATGTCTTGGCATGTAGCTAATACATCATGGTGCAATTGTAGATGCCACGGCAGCAAATGCACTCGCTTCGTATACGACGGGAGCCAATGACGACATCAGGCTTCATTGGGGATTCCCCAATTCGACGATCAAAGCAAAGACGGGCAATATATACTTCAAGATCGATGCGCCGTCCACCTACGCATGGGTCGGCATTGGCGTCGGCAAGTCCATGCTGGACGCAATGATGTTTGTCGTGTATAAAGGGACCAACGACAGCGTAACGGTCAGCATGCGGACTGGAGAACACCACACACCACCCGTGTATACCCCGACGACCAAAGTCCAGGTGCTGAATGGCTCGGGTGTGGCAGATGGCAGAATGGTGGCGGAAGTGAAGTACGCCGACTTCAACATGGAAGGGAAGGACGTGTGGATGTGTGCGTGGGACTCTGTAGGGCCGTTGGACCTCTCGGACAAGAAGGACGCGGTAATTCACAAGCATGACGGGAACAGACTCTTCACCATCAGCCACTCGGCAGCGGCAATAAGTTCAGAGACGAATGTCTTCTCGGCCAGTGACGACGGGTCCGACAACGGGATTGCGCCGTACGTGGCGCCTGTCAACTATGATACAATCGTCCTGGCTCACGGAATCATCATGTCGGCACTGTTTCTCGTGTTTTATCCGGCCGGGGCCATCATTATGCCGCTTTTTGGAAACTGGTTCTATCATGCCGTGGAGCAGTGTATTGCGTATCTCATCATGTGGGTTGGCTTTGGTCTAGGCGTGACATATGCTTCATATGCCGGGATGGTGAGTACTCGTTATTGCGCTATTGCTATCTTTGATCTAACAAAATTTCTTCTCTTTATATAGTTTGGAAAGCAGACTCACACCCAGATGGGAACCATTGTCGTCGTGCTGCTCAGTTTCCAGCCCGTCTTGGGATATCTTCACCATCTCGACTATAAAAAGCACAACAGAACAGGGCTATTAGGCCGAATTCACTCGTGGCACGGGCGTGGCCTAATGGTAGTCGGCATCGTCAACGGCGGCTTAGGGTTACAGATGACAGGGCAGGTGGGCAGCGCTTGGTTCATCGCATACGTTACTATTGCCGTCATCGTTTCCGCGGGGTATGTGGGAGCCATCCTTTATAGTATGAGTAATCGCATGAAGCAACGCAACCGACCTCCGAGAACAGTCGTCGTGGAGACGGTATCAGGTCCTGCATTGCGGTTGAGATCTAGGTAGCGATATGAGCGGTAATTACACGAAAGAAACGAATACCCTTTTATGCATCTTCGAGACTGTCCCAGAAATCCACCATCATCTCCTGAACCTCTTTCGGCTTCTCCCCAGCAACGCTATGCCCAACCCCTTCGACGACGTAGATATCTCCCCTCCATCCGACTGATTTAAGCTCATTCGTCATATAATCCTTCTGAAAGAAGCCATCTTTCTCCCCAAGAAGAACCAGCGTCTCAAGCTTGCCCTCTGCAATACTCCTATACGTGCCATGGGAATCATAAACCCCCGTATATCTATAGCAGCTGACCAAGCTCGCAACATGTCCAGCATGCTTCTCCTTCTCCCAGATCTGGACAGCCACACTGGGAATAGCTTCCAGCCCTTTCTCCCTGAACTTCTTCTCCCAGCCTTCCTCGACGGGTCCGGGTCCAAGGTAGTCCCAAACCGAATTTGCGCTGAGATCTCCCCAGCCCCAGCCCCAGCCACCCCACCTCAGAAACCTCTCCCACGACGTCAGGTCAGATTTCTTCAAAAGACCGGCAGGTGCGACGAGGACCAGGGACTGCACGACGGTGGTGTGATACTGCGCAAAGGAAGCGGCTATGATGCCTCCGAGAGAGAATCCGAGAAAATGAGCCCGGGTCCAGCCAAGATGGGCGAGGAGGCCGAGGATCTGGGTGTGAAACAGACCAGGTACGTGGGCGGCCACAGGGGTAGAGGACAGCCCGTGTCCCCAGTTGTCGTAGATGAGGACCGTGGTGGGCGTGGAATCGGCGGCGAGGTGCCTGGCCAGGGGCAGAAGCCCGATGGCTGGAGTTCCGACGCCGTGGATGAGCACCACGTTGCGGGGTGTCGCCGTGGTTGACGGGTTCGGGTGGGAGGGCTCAATTAGATAGTAGGTTGTCACGCCCAAGTACGACTGGAGGGTTTGGGCGGGCGGCAGGACTCCTCCGAATAAGGCATTGAAGTCCTCGGCCGGTGGCGGAGGGATCGACCTTTGGTCGCCGACTTGGCCGGGATGGGGGAGAACGGGAACGTTGCTCACAGACATGTTTAGCCTATGTTCTGTCACTAGACTGAGCCAGAGCTGGAGTTTGTTGTAGCGTAGGTACTAGAGAGATTGAAACTGTCGAGTTGGCAAAGGTAGGCAATGCTCTATTATGGTGTCAATTCAAGGGCGTGGTTTTTGCAACCTCCGATGCCCGATAAATACGAGAAGATAAGCCTCTAGCGCCGGGTATAATTAGATCGCTGCCGGCATTTGTGTGTCCAGCAGTGTCTAGACATGGGTAAGTGAGTGAGAGTCTTTTTGGAGAAGGTCGAAGGAGAGCAAGTTGGGACACAGTGTCTTGATTCGAAGATGGAAGATATTTTAGATTTTAATTCAGAAAACGGATTCGTTTCTGGCAATGGGGTTGCAACATTCTACGTTGCGCTAGAGAAGGTGTATCAAATTCCCTCACCGCAAAATGATTCTAGTAGCTATCTTTAGGCACGTGAAATGTCGTCTTATACTGTGCTTTCATACAGTATCACATCTTCCTTCCCCCAATCGAATGACGTGCTCAAGCGCCACTACCGTTGTATGCAATCAAGTTGACAGTTGAGGCAGGCACATTACCGAGCAGATTAGGGGTAGCAAGCTCTCTAAGTCGATCGCAAATCCCAGCTCCAGTTATACCTTCGAGGCTTGCGATGTAGGCCCCCAAGCCTGCAATGTGGGCAGAGGCAATGGATCCAGAAACCGTAGTCTATGATTAAGATGTTAGTGTCCGAAACCACATTTATCTGAAAGGAAAATAGAGGGGGGGATATACAGTGCCTCCGCCCAAACCTGTGGTGACAACACTCTGACCAGGCGCCCAGATATCAAGCAATGATCCATAGTTGCTCCAAGATGCGGCCGTATCGGTGCTGGTAGAGCCTCCAACAGTGCAAGCCGTCACTACAGATGCTGGAGAGTAGTTGGCAACATTGGCGGCACTACCACCAGCAAAAACAGAAACGAATGTGCCTCCAGAGATGAGCGTAGCGACGGCAGTGTTGAGAGCTGTCGAGAAGGATCCTCCAAAAGCAATATTTACCGCGAAGCCCTTGGGGCAATTCCGTGAGAATACATCTGAAGCAATCCAGTCTATACCGGAGATGACACCGCTTGTAGTACCAGAGCCGCTGTCGTCGAGCACCTTGACCCCGAGAAGGGCGGTCTTTCTGCTGACGCCGTAGGTCAGACCTCCTACCACACCTGCAATCGCGGTACCATGACCATTGCCATCAGTGCTGCTGCCGCCGACGAAGTTGGCTACCATAGAGGCTCGACCGCCGAATTCCTTTGTCACCTCGTCAGCCAGTGAATGAAACGTGGGAAAGACGAACGTACTGAATGGGTTATCTGAATGCCTGTGTCGAGGATGTATACACAGGTCCCTTCTCCAGCTGAATCATCGAAAACGTAGGTGGCGGCTCCTCGAGCCCGGTGTGAGATGCGAGCGAGATTCCAATTTGTAGTGGGCACAGTTATTAGATCAGAAATGGAAACAATGCCATCTGACTCGATAGATACAATGGAATCTTCTTCTATGTACTCCACCTAAAAAGGCGGTCAGCATCGAAAAGAGTTTGCTCCTCCGAATATCAAATTTACCTGAGGATGATCACGCAATTTTGCTACTTGATCGTCATCAAGAGTAGCGGCAAAGCCGTTGAAGACGTTGCTATACAACTGATCGGCCTCAATTGAAAAAGAGTCCAGTATGCTGCCGAGTGCAGAAATCTCCGACGATTCCTTAAGCTTGACGATATATTTGTCGGCAACAAGGGAATCTATGTCTCTCGGTTGGGATGGAGAAGGCGCTGCCAGAGCGAGCGAGATGGCCGCCAGTATGAAGCTAGGACGAGCACGCATAATGAATAGTGATAGCTTGATATACCTTCTTCTTCTTAAAAATATTTCAAGACCTGGGTGATCAATCCAGTCTGCTTTTCCTCATCTGCGGCTTAAGCTTGCATATTTATCTATTTCTTCTCCCCGAAGCAAGTTTGGCTCAGACCACCTCGCTCTTCAGCAGCTATCACACCTTCCTTACAGAGACAATCAAAATGAATAAGCATCGCTGACAAGTCGTGGTAGAGTTACAGCCAAGAATGTAGCTGAAGTCGCCTGCAAACGTAATTGGCTGTCTCCCCCGAGCTGATGGCGAGTGCATCGGCGGGGATATGGGATTCAATAGTTTGTGGCATTGACAAATCCTATTCGTCCATTCGTCTATCTCTCGTACTCGGATGGTAACATCAGGATCCTTGCGTGATAATCGATGTTTGGTACGTGTACATTTAGTTCTGGGTTTGTATTCCGCCAAGCAATTCCCCCATAGCTGTTATAAAGATCTGCTTTATTGATAATTTCGTTCATGTACTTATCGTAGGCAGGTAAGCTGTCGAGCAGTATACATATGAGAGCTACCATCTACATGCCACCATCATCGCCATACCTTCGTGGTTGACAAACCAACTGTTGTATCTAAGCAAACGACAGCGCTGTAACCGTGCCTAGCATTCTACGTAACACAATTAAAACATCAATAATTCATTCCCCTCTCAGTATGAGATCATATTCTATTGAACTGATATGAAACAATGTGAAAGGTCTGTATCAACTATTCTGATAATCCAAGTTTAGCCAATGCTAAAGACAGAGCCCTAATGCTGTCCTGCGTATCTTGATGGGCCGTGCCCAGTTGCTTAGTTCTCAGTCGAACGGCGTCTCGAAGGAAGGGCTCTGCCTCCGAAGCCCTTCCGAGTCGATTGAGGACGTTACCGACGTCATGCATTACCTGTACTGTTCCCAGATCCTCCTCTCCACCATATCTCTTTTTCCATTCCAATACGTCTCGTAGGTGGAAGAAGGCTTCTTCATACCTAGAATCGTCAGAATATATCATGCCAAGATAGTGCTTGCATCCGATCGTGATTTCATCCTTGTCCCCCCTTGTGATCTGGGATAGAGCCAAGGCTTTCCTGAATAGGGGCTCTGCATCCGCTTTCTGTCTAAGCGATAACATGACAGAGCCTAAATTGTGCATGCTTACGATAGTACTAGCGTTTTCGAGGCCCGAGTGTTCTTGTCTCAACTCAAACACCTCACGACATATCGGCATCGCCTCTTGGTACTTGTCCGCACTCGCCAGGTTACAGCCGATACTGTGCATAATACTGAGAACCCTCTCATCTTTCTTGGTGCCCGCCCTCTTCACTTCAATCTCCAAGATCTCCTTTTGGACCGCCACAGCCTCTTGAAATAATTCTTGGATGCACAGCGATTCAGCAAGGCTTTCCATGGCCTGGATGGTTAAGGGGTGATCCGCTATTTCGAGTTAGACACCTTATAAGCAAATGGTCAGATTGAGTTCGCATTACCTCCGTATTTTGCCTTCCTTTTTTCGAGGATGACTCTCTGGGGGTCGGCTAGCTGTAGTTCAAGGCTTTGAATATTTTTGATGGCCTGAGAGTCTTCGGGACTCATTTCTCGCACCAATTTCCATTCTTCCAAGGCTCCACGTAAGTTTCCAGAGAGCCCAGTGGCGGTTGCCTTAGTTGCCCGAGCTTTGACGTAGGTGGCATCAAGATTAATTGCCTTCGTGCAGTCGTCCATGGCCATGTCGTACATACCCAACTTGATGTAACACCGAGCTCTATTCTGGTAGAGCTTCGCGTTGGTTAGTCTGTTGGTTGTATCGACCTCCAATGCTCTGTTGTAAAAGTCCTTGGCTGTCACCCAATCGTGTATCTTGAACGCATTATTCCCTCGTTCTTTCAGTTGAGAGAGTTCCCGTACAATACCAAGCCATTTAATTCCGTCTCTGCAGGTTACACAACTCTGGCTAGTGGAACAGTAAGAAGAGGCTCGAGTTGCGCTTTCCAGCATTTGGATGGCCTTCTCGTCTTGTCCCTGGGAATATAACAGGCGCCCATACAAGAACAATGCGTCACTGTGATCCTCGTCCGTGGCACGTATGGAGTCGATTGCGCTTTTGGCTTCTTCTAGGTAAGCAGATCGCTTCTCGGTGTCCAACTCCAGGACATGTAAATTCAGATGAGCTAGGGCCAGGGGAACCTGCCAATTCCAAGGTATGAGAGCTGAGGGAGATTGATGCTGCCTGGCCCTGCCCAGTGCGCTGATTACCAACCTCATGCTCTCAACGGAACTTTGTCCAATCAAGTCCATCGCAAGCTTGTGATCACGCAGCATCGCATTTGCTTTCATGGCCTCCTTCTCTGTAGGGCCAGGGTTCTTGATACGTGATAACGTGCGGACGGCTTCATGAGCATCACCCAGTGACGTATAAATGCGGACCAGGCGCAAGAGTAGCTTTCTGCTATCAGGGACGACCTCCAGGGCCTTTAAGCAGTCCGCTAAAGCCTCGTTGTGTTTCCCATTTGACATCAAGGCAGCAGCTCGGTTGCCTAGATACGTCGACGAGGAAGGGAACATTTCAACCGCTGCACAGCAAAAAGGTCAGCTATCTTAAGCGCACCTTCGTTGATGGGAGACTTTGAGAGATTATTTTGCTTACCTTTGCTGTATTCCTCAACAGCCTTGTCATAATTCTTCTCTCTGAAGAACACATTCCCAGCCACTTTGTGCTTTTCTGCGGTTAGTACCGTATAAGGCGTTGGACCATCAGTTATAGCTATGTTGGGTTCTTGACCACATCCATCGCTGCTGAGGTTGGTTTGGACTGTCTCGCCCGCCTCCCAGGTAGCGGTCAGATCCCCTTCCACCAAAGTGCGAGGAATTTCTTGGTCCGGTTCGGTAATTTCAACCCTAAAGGCAGTTTTTACAGTCTCGTCTGCAGTCCATGCAGCTGATGGCTCCTCCTCCACGCTTGGGCCAGGCGAATGCCCAGAACCATATTGTCTAGTCTCTTGAGACTCTACAGCATCTGATGATTCCTCTGGCCAGACTGCGGAAGCTTCTGTGTTCTCCTGCGTAGAATAATCTTGAGAGAGTGGTGTATGGTGGGGTTCGTTGTTAGAGAACCCTGATGTGATCCAAGGATGGTTCAATGCTTTCGCCGAGGATAAACGCTCGCTGGGGTCAACTGCAACAAGTTTTTTTATGTAATCAATTAGACTTTCGCTTGCGTCGTGTTTATGCAACGGCAACCCCGGGAAGCTCTCATAGCCGTAGGAGTACTGGAAGAGATGGTGAGGGTTTGTAAATACGGGTGTTCCGGTGAAGAGTCTGAAGACGCATTGGCCTAGACACCACATATCTACGGCGTATTGGTCTGCTTTCTTTCCGTTTCCGTTATATCCAAGAAGCTCTGGTGGCATGTAGTTTGGAGTTCCACGTATCGCCGTGGTTTCGGGCATGGTGGCCTCGTTCCTCCTCGTCAAACCGAAATCTGCCAGCTTCACCCACCAAGAAGGAGTTGTGCTCACAATGAGAATATTCTGGGGAGGATGGTCAGACTTTCACGAAGCATCGGCTGGAGGAATTACCATTAAAACTCACCGCAAGCTTCAGATCCCTATGGCAGAAAGACTCCCGGTGCATAACATCTAAAGCCTCGAGGATTTGCGATGAGATTTCATGCACCTCGGACTCAGGTAATCGACGATCCGGACAGTTGTTCGGGTTGCATACGTATTTATCAAGGTCTCCTAATTCACAATACTCCATAGCGATATGGATGAACTGTGTTAGTAAGAAAGTGTTAACCATTGCACGGCTCTATGGGAAAGAGGTAGGCAGACTTGTGAACTAAGAAACCAACCAAAAGAGGTGACAAAGTGATCGGAGTACTGTCATGATTGTGTCAGTAGCCAAAATAACTCAGTCGCAGAAGCAAGTTCCTTGGGCACACCTTTGCTTGAGAGAACTTGGCGATGGCTTCTAGCTCACGTTGGTAGAGCTCCCGGCTCCCCTCTCGACGACCGTCAGGTATTTTGAGATTTTTAACGGCACGCAGCTGCGGAGAGCCAGATCCAGCAGTAATTCTCTCTTGGAGGTCGATGTAGGCCTGGCCTCCGCTACCAAGCCTCTTTTTGATCATCCATTTCTCCTGGGCCGCTCGGCGACGTGCTGAGCGGGCGTGGATGATGAGCTGGCCATTGGACTCGAAAGTCGTCGGTAATTGAGACCCTCGGACCAGTTCTTGTAGGCTGGCTACAGAAATGTCCGGGTCCGACATATCGCGCTCAAGTAGAACAGAGTCGATGCTCAAGGTTTCATCACTTGAGAACCCGATCCCCCAGCAGCGGTGCAAGTTGTGAGTCGAAAATTTCGCAGTAAGGACTAGGAGGGGAGGGAATCCTGGAGATTATTTATTTGCGCCTTGGCTCCCTTGTTCTTGCAGGAGCCTAAAGTTGAGTGACAGGGGTAATAAGCAAACGAGGGATTCTTGGGTCGCATTTGTGATGATCCTGTTTCTGGTCTACCCTAAAGATAAGCTTAGAGCTTCTTGAAGTTAAGGAAAGGGGCGAAGTAAGCTGAGCCACTGTGAATGCGGCGAAATAACTCAAATTTTGTACTAATAAAAAGGTCTCTTAATAGACACAGAGATTTTATTGATGCCTGTCATTCATGATTATCGCTCAATCACACTCTTTTTGTTTCTTGGGGATCCCGGTAGACCAGAAAGATCATCGTTTCAAATATGACAAACAGGTGTATGAAAAAGAGAAATTCGAACTTCAAAAAATCATATCTATAAGCAAACTCTTTCACCAAAACAATTTGACTATTCTTCGGTGATAGACCACATCTTCTCAACACGTTGCGGTCCGGCTTGATGACTCCGAGTCTCTTCTACTCACAGGATAGTGTCAAAGAGAGTGCTTTGCAGGGGCTTGTCATCCAATGCGGCTTGAATCTCATCGTCGATACTATCCAAGAACCTCTTCTGGTTCCATTTAGGCTGCCATCCCAGCAAATATGGGTTCACGGCAACTTGTTGCCCGCTGTGCATTTTGTTAGTTATGATTTATTTTGGAGAGGAGTCTGCACGTACGTAGCTGCACCCATAGCATGAATATGCTGGACCGGCCATTTGAGTTGCTTAGCAGCCTCCTCCCAGCTCGGCCAGACCTGCGCTGTGGGCTCTGCTACCAGACCTCGGGCATGAAGTCCAGCGGCAAGGCGCTCCATGGCCTTCCACCAAGGGAGCCTGTGAGCAAACCCGAAATAAAAGCCGGTTTCTCCACTGGGGATCGATTCTCCTTGTAGAATCTTCTCCACAAGCGCGACGTACAGGTCGGCCAAGTCGGCGACATGGATCGCAGGGGGATTCTGCAACACTGTTAGTATCCTAGTCGGTAAAAAAGACCGCTGATTGTTGAATGAGACTGGCTGCCTCTTGACAAAAGAGGACTGGGAGTCTCTCCAGTGGATGAAAAATAAGGCCTGGACATACTCCATCTTTCTCAAACTTGTACACGACCTTGTTCTCGACACTCTTTCGAACGAATGCAGGAATGTTCGTAGATAGCTTTTTCCACTCTCCGCTGCCTCTTCCATCTGTTCACTGTTAGCGTCTCCGATATCTCTCAACAAGTCCCCATGGCTAATATGGAACCTGACTCACAGACGACAGGAACAGCAAGATTGAAAAATTCAACACCTTGTGCCTTGGTTTCTTCCAGGAGGCCAAGGTCGGTCTACTGGTGTTTTAGTCGTTTGCGTATGAGAAATGAGGAGATGGTGAGTTAGTCCACTTACGATGCGGACGGGATGACCATCCCCAAGCTGCCTCTCCGTTTCGTACAAATCATCAGTATCCTTTACCTCTCCCTCAGGCCAACCCCCATCCTCGGAGAAGGGAGTAGTAATTGATGACTAAAAGATTAGAGAAGGTGAATACATACTGGGACTATATAAACTCACATTAATAAAGTACGTCTTCTTGCCGGTTATTTTGCCTCGCTGGCCAAGGGCTCTCACAAGGTTAAGGCCAAGGGGCAAAACAAACGAGCTGGCCGCATGAACGATAAGATCAACTACAATTGTAAGTCAGTGGTTTGAAAATTTACTTTGGTGGCCAACTCACTCTCATTGCTAAGCACCGCTTCTAGAATGGCCTTTTCATCGGAAAGATCCGCTTGGATGACATTGACGCCAAGCTTCGACAGTGCTTTGGCCTGGTCGTCCGAGCGAATGATGGTGCTGATGTTTATATTCTTGACTGGAGCGTTGGTCCGGGCAATAAGGGTGGCTACGACAGAGCCTCCGCTGTATTCAAGTTAGCTCTCAACGAAGAATGAATGTACAAACAATAGGCCTACATGAAACCGGCGCCACCAGTGACAAGAACATTCTTTACGTGAGCCATGTTGTGATGAAAGAGTTGCGGGCAATGTAATAGTTGTATGATGTATTCTCTTGATACGATATCAGAATGTATTAAGCTGCATTTTATTGAGAGAAATAGATTCATCGAGTACTTATAGTCCGTCGTTTATGTCTTTTTGTCTGACAGCACGCCTTCGTCCACTCTAAATTACTAAGGCCATGGTTGCTGGACGCTTTCGCCGGCCGGAATCCCGCGCAAGACCGCTGACAAAATTGGATCCAGTTGTGGCCAATCAAAGCAAGCTTGGCCGGAGGGTATTCAAATTTGTCATCTCAATCTCCACTGTTTTGGCCAAGTTAATAAAAAGGTGAGTCGCTCCTCATTCGGAAACCCGCGGATGCCGTTGGCTTCAGTTCACCGTTCTCCAGACGGCTTTCTCCACGAACCTGTTAAAAAAATCAAGAAAGAATGGATACGAGTGAAGTCGTCAATGGAACGTCGCAGGCCCGGCTGGCGATTCCCCGCCGCTCTGTAAGCCCTTCTGCTTTGGCATTGTGTAATCAACTCGCGTTAACGTTCCTCCACTAGTGTGATCAGTGCCGGACTCGAAAGGTATGTTGCCTTTGCTCACTTCATTCCATAAACGCAGCGAGGTGGCTGATAGTGTCACTTCAGATCGCCTGTGAAAGAGCATCGCCCTGCTCGAGCTGTGTTTCGGCAAGATTAAATTGTACTTACGGCCTCGTGGTATCTAACACGAAAGCTCCGAGGCAGAGAGTGTTAATATCAGCAGAGTAGTACGTCATTCCGGTTCATTGAAAAGGGCTTTTGCCATAATTAAAGATCTTCCAGTGAAAAGAAAATCAACGACATTTCAAAGGGCGTCGATGCCATCCAAGCTTTCCTTGAGACCACACACAGGCCACCACCAGCCGCGGAAAATCGAACTGACAGGAGCTTGATATCAGTTGACAACCAACTTGAGACGGTGAAACATGAATCCCAGGGGGCGTCTCTCTGCGCACCTGGGAGCGATACCCACTGGGACCACTCTGCACACATTATTGATTTTATCAAAACATTTGTGGAACATATAGAGCCAGCATATGTCGGCACTGATGGTGGCAAGGTGGTATTATCATTGAAAACTCTTCTTAAGAGTCTTGAAAACCCTAAGAATTTGGTCATTCCAAAAGCCATGGCTCCAGCACCGGGAGGTTCCTCTGAGATGCCTCCATTGGCGGCTTCCGTGGAGATACTACGTTGGGCTCAAGGTTGGTCCCCTTATTCCACCATGATGCATATTTCTAATGACATAAACAGCCCATCAGACCAATGCAACTGTGTCTCGAATGTCGCATGTGCTTCCTCTTGAGCGGTTTGCCGATATATGTCGAAAGGTTTATTTTGCAATCGATGATTTCAATGAGATAGATTTCATTCTGTCTAACGGGTACATGTACTACATCTTCTGTGAGCATGCAGCTGGATCTGGACGGGAAGACTACCTGGAATACGGCAAGCTTTGTGAAAAGAACATGTTCAAAGGTTTCCAGAGACTCCCGCTTCTTTTACCGTCATCCATGGAAGTCATAGCGGCGCTAACGCTTGGGGTATGTGACACATCTTTGGATCGACGATATGCACTGCTGACCAACTCCAGGCATTCAATGCTGTTGAAAACTCCAAGGCCTCGCTAGCTTGGAGCTTTATATCCGTTGCATCAACTCAGTGTCAAACTCTTGGATACCACCGTAGCCCACCAGGGCGGTCTCGGGGAACAATAAATTCTCTTAGAGCTTCCCAGGAACGACTGTTCTGGTCGGTTTATAAGCTTGATAAAGGGCTATCTCTTCGCTTTGGGCGGGCACCGAATATTCTTGACACTGAGATAACGCTACCCTTTGAGCAAGATTTACCGAGACCCGTTCGAGTGGCGAGGATTCAAGGTAACGTATATGAGCAGCTGTATAGCCCAGCGGCCATATCTGTTGCAAATAATAGTACGCGGATCCATCACGCGGAGCAGCTTGCTGAGCAGCTGCGAAGTTTAATCGCGGAAACATATACCGAACTCAACGTATGTTATCTTCTAAGCATCAGTTGCGACATTTACTAATAGACATGCTAGGCCGTAGAGGCAAGTGACGAACCTGTTGTATCGTTGGACCCATTGCGGGACTATCACCTGCAGTGCGACTTGGTCTGCTTGACTTCGTTATTGACTCTCATTTTGCGTGCCGTACCTCTTCCTCTGGAACCTTTGGATGGTTCAATAAACAACTACGTAACTGCTGCTCGCGAGGTCTTCGATATTCACCACAAATGTATGTTGGGTATTAAAAAACGTGGAATTGGCTGTTCAATGAACAGAAAGTATATAAACTGGTAAGTTAGATGCTAACATGTATTGCTATAATGGAGCTGACAGTTTGATAATAGGGCAATAGTAAACACACCGTTTGTTCCATTTACCATCCTATTCACGCGCGTGATCCAATTTCACGACGTGGCTGATTTGGCTCGCTTGAAACGCTTCACAGATTCTCTCTGTCCGGATTCAGCTGGATCGGAATCTATAACACATCCTCATCAACTCTATGATCTGCTTTGCCAGGCTGCGCAGCTCTATATGAGAACTAATGCTCTTTATCCATCTGACACATTTTCCTCGCTTAATGAGGATCCTTTCCAAGCTGCGGAATCGAGTTTGGTGGATAATAGCATCGAGATGGCGATGGAGCATGGAAAGGGACTTGAGGAGAACATTTCGCATTTTGATAACTTGGACGATTGGTTTCAAGGGAATCAGCAACTCATGAGTCTGCTTGAGGATGCACCTTTCTAACATAGATGATCCGGTATGACATTAATTCAAACGACATGAAAACTTCACACTATCTTCAAGTATCCCCCTTTGTTTCAATTCAGTAAACGGGCTGTTGGCAATAGTCTAAGGAAAGCATAGAGCGAAAACTGCAAATGACCACACCTCTCATATTGGACCAAACTTCAAAACCTAGCTGCGCTTGACTGATGTTAAATAGACCGGTAGTGGCGGTTTCTCCCACAAATTGAATACCCTTTGTTTTTCCCACCCGCTGGTGGCATCCGTAGGTCGCATATCGAAATTAAACAACACTCTTGCAAGGATTGTCCGCATTTCTACGTATGCCAGACTGGGAAATAATTTAGTAATAGGATCGAAAAGAATTAGAGAGAAAAGAGTGCTCTGTACTCACTTTTTACCAATACAGTTTCGTGGTCCGACATGAAAGGGCTGAAACGCCTCTCGAACGTCGCTCTCGAACGCTGAATCCCCGAGGAATCGCTCAGGGTGGAAGTTGAAAGGATCCTTGAAGAACTTGTCGTTATGGTACAGGGCCCATTGGTGAATTCCGACGACGGTCTTGGTAGAACATTAGCAAACAAATCACTTCGCACGAGAAGTAGTCGGGATTGTCTTACCCCCTCTGGTACATAATGACCGCACACATTGGCACCGCCCTTTGGTGCGACTCTCGGCAGTCCGACAGGAACGGGCGGATACATCCTCAATGCTTCATTCAGACATGCGAGCATATACGTCAAGTTGTTGACGCTATTGAAATCGATCTCATCTTCCGTCTTGAATGTAGATCGAACCTCATTCGTCACCTTTTCCAAGGCCGCAGGATTCATCGCTAAGTAATATGTAACTCCAGATAGCAGTGTTGCGGTCGTCTCACTGCCGCCGATGATCAGCTTGCCGGCATTTGATGAGAGGCGACTCATGGTTAAACCCTAAAACACATCTTAGTTCACGATCCCGAGCATTTAATTCCGTTCAAGGCACTCACCCATTCATCTTTCTTCCTCAGGAGTCCCTCGATAAGATCAGGACGCTCAGCCCCTAGTTCCATTCGTCGCAGAAGCTTCTCGTTCGTAAGCTCTTCGTGTTGTTTATTCTGCTCGCGAACGGATTCGGGAACTAGGCTGAGAAGAAAGTTCTTGAGGGATGGGTAGTACCCCAGCGCCTGCAACACCACCCCGGCCCGGGCCATCTGAAAAATGATACGAACCCAAGGATGATAATCAGACGAGTCAAGGCAACCAAATGGCTCTCCAAAAGCGAGATCTCCAATGATATCGAACGTTGTGAAGTTGTACCAAGCCATAATATCGACCGTCTTTGACCCGTCGTCGCAATTCTCATGCAGCCTCTGGATCAACTTGTCAATGTATGCCTTGATCATGGGCTGTTGTTCGCGAAGACTCTTGTCACTGAAACCATGCGAAAGCGTACGTCGGAGGAGGCCATGCTCTGTGCGATCAGCGCTGATAATATCGATCTCCATAGACTCGATGGGCCGATAGAAGAGCTGCGCCTTCTCAAACTCCAACTGACCCTTTGTCCTATGACCTTGGATATCGTTCCAGGCAGCAGGGTCGGCAAAGGCAAGTTCATTAGGAGCGATGCGTACAACAGGGCCGTACTTCTTATGGAGATCCAGCATATCGAACGGCAGCGTGCCCCGAAACGCTCTGTGAAGGTACCCCAGTCTTGTTGCGCGCATGAACAGCGGGCCAGGGTACTTGCGAAGAGGATTCAGCCATGCGTTGTATGCAAGATAGGCCACAATGTAGGCAAAAATCTGGCAGATGTGTAAGCGAGGTGATGGAATTCTGGGAGGGTTGGAGAAACTAACAGACGCGAATAGGAGGCCTACGGCACTACCTATCCCGATTGGTAAGAACAACATGTTGAAATGTCTCTTCTATGACACTGGAAATGGCGGTGATCAAAGTTTTAATATCATCAGTCGCTCCAGCATATGTTGCACGTGCTGGTTGCGGAATATGGCCGTGGAAGAGACAATACCCCTTTACTCCGGGTCTACTCTGGATGGGTGTTGTAGATCCAGCACTTCGGTAAATAAAGGCCAGATCCCACGGCAGATGGAGTCGACTTTATAACTTCCGGTGCTATTAGAATACTTTGGTCTTTTTAGATTACGGATATCTTCGTTCTCGGTTTCGGTCTCGGCCTCTAAATTAATCTAGATGGTAGCATCCACAAGGTAGCATCCTGGGGTTTCACCAATACAGAATCGTATAGGATCAGCAAAAAGAGTCTCGGCCCACCCTTGACGCGCAGGTGTCAAGGCTGTCATAGTTGCATTGATAGCGCGCTTGCAGATTGCGTGCCGTGCCATCTATCCTAGCGGTGGCTCGGGGCTTTTCAGATGCCGAGGATTTACGCGTGTGCAATGCAGCCGCAGCATCATCAAAGCAAACTGAATAATACTTTAACACTGATATTCTACATGCAATATTTTCACAATCGTGTTATGCTCAGAGCAACGGCATACGAAAGCACTTCCCCCGTTTACAGAATAATCATATCCGCCGGGCAACGCAACTCAACACAATATGTACAATGACCATAGGGAACTCATTAGAGCGTCATACCATCACCAAAAACTGGATATTGATCGACAGTTTGACGGGTTCTTGACTCCGCTTAACACTACACTCTTCCCCACCTATCATCTGTTTCGGTTTCGCGGATCTGCCAGCCGTTGGCACCCATAGCCATCGGCTCCGGAGCTCCCTCGTAGTCCACGACATGCCGAGCCACCCGCTATGCTGTCGTATCTCAAACATTCATACGCAATCCTAGGCATATGTGGACAGATCTCATTCTTGACTTCCCAATGAGTGCCAACTGCGTACCGAAACCGGCAAGCGAGAACGCGCTGATGCGATGGATGCTGTGATGGGGGAAAATCCGACATTTCTCACTCGCCCAGCTCCTCAAGCAGCTAGATAGGCGAGGAAAGAGTTTCTTTTGCGAAGATGAATGTTTAAAGGGTGTCCACTTATGTAGAGATCTCGTAATTCTCTTCGCTTTCCAAGGCGAGATGAATTCCCAAGGGGTCCTAACTGGTGGTAGAGCCATGCTATGTATCTTGCAATTAGGCAAGTTCGGGATGGCATCTTGTCGATTCCAGCCGGGCTCAATCGGGCCAACACGCATGAGATGCGATAGGTGTATATGGGCTGTTTTGAGTCTTTCATTTACCTCGATAGCTGTGCCGCCCAACATTATGTTATAAACATTCGGAGATCAGGCAGGACCAGCCGCTGAACAGGCTTAGGTATCACACTCTGGATGGACATTGATGGCGTATCTCTAATTCAATGACGGCTATTGAGCAAGCTTCTTGCTTTCCTCATCATCGAGGTCAGTGCACAACCCATTTTCACAAGCTTTCCTGTCTGCATTCTGAATGGCGATGAATAGCGGGATCTAAAAACGAAATGGCAAAAGGATCAACCTGGCTGGAGAGGATTGAGTGTTGGCCAGACAGAGAATAGCTAACCATAACAAAGGGCCAGAATGTGAGTCAACGCCTGTCAGCGTGCCTACACTACAGGTAATGCAACTACTGAGCATGGGATGGCCAATAATAAACGTCTGACAAATAAGTTCAACGCTCTGGATTAACTCAAGCTGCGCCGCTGCGACGTTGAGTCATCCATCCAGACGCAAGAGATGCACAACAATGGTATACCGACAGAACATCTGGGCGCTAAAGCTCTATCTAGCCTTGCCAAACTTCAACCTGAGCCAGCAGCCGAGGACTGTTTTCTAGTTTGGCCAGGCACAATTCGTGGCGGAATTTGACTAGGTAGGGAAAGCCCGTAATTGAAAACACTGCCCGCCAGCTAATTGATAGCCGCAGCGCTAATGAACTAAGCCTCGTGGAGATACGCTCTTCAGCCGCTCTTTAGCCCGTCGGGGTAATTAAATTCAGTGCACTGGCTTTGATCCTGTATTGGGGTAAATAAGGCAGGCGTATGTCAGGCCATCTTTCCTCTGTTGGCTGGCTTGAGTAGAGTTTCGGCGTGACTCAGACTTTCTCTGGCCTCTGACTCTTCTCCAAATCCAAAAAGCCAAAACATAAATACCACTACAGTTCCTCTGTTTTGTTTTTCGACTTATTTTGTCAACTTGTTCTGTTTATCCAAGATTCAGACTCGGAAACGGATCGTGGCACATTGTCCACGACCAGCTGCGCCATCATGAGGGAGAAGCATGACTTGTTAATCCTGACCGATGCAACTGCATCAATGGGAAGTTACCTCAACTCCCTAAACAAATCACTGCCAGAAATCATTCGAATCTCGGCCCTAACCGGATGCTTCGAACGAATCGGTGTTCTCGCCTACCGCGACTACTTCAAAGGCGAGCTGACTGAGTGGTCCGGGTAAGAATTTCCTCACCACACTCTCTGCATCCAGATTCTAACAGTCTTGGTGATTAGGTGGCTCGGCGAAGGATACCCCTTGAAGCAGAGTGATTTGCTTGCCTTTACAACCAAGTTACGCCCCGAGCATGGCGGCGATTGGCCCGAGGCCGTGAAGACGGGCCTCGCACACGCCTATTCAGTGATGCGGGAGGACGCCCAGACGCTGGTTCTGCTGTATGCAGACGCTCCCCCGCACACTCCAGCCACGGTATGTGCTGCCATGCGTATTTTATAATGCACTCCTTGGAACTGACATTGTATTCAAGGGTGGAAAATACCGCGAGTCTGAAATAGTGCGTCTGAAGACCGACGCCTACGGTACTGGGCCTGAGTTCCTTGACTGGGTGTCGGTATCCAAGCACTTTCGCAATGGTCCCAAAAAGGCCACTTTCATCAGCGTCATTCAGTCTACTCTTGCCGATACTCTGTCAGCACACTTGTTCCTGAACCACTGCACCGGAGGCACATGTGTGGAGATTCCAGATGCATCCACGCCCGAGACCATCTCCTCGCTCACAATCAACGTGCTTCTCACCTGGATGGGCGCCGAGAA